AGGCAGAGCCCTCGGTAGCTCTGGGCTCGTGGCTCTGCATCCACACAACGCCCCAAAAGCATGTGATAGAAAACTTACCTTTCCAACTGTGTCTTCTTCTCGGCTATTAAAGCCTGAAGTTGCTGTTCCTGAGCTTCCCTTTGCTTTGCTATAGACTTCAGCAAATTTCGCGCCCCGATGGCCTGTCGAAAGAGGATGGTCAGCGATGCATTGGGATGTTTTATAATTATTTTAACCCCTCCCACTACTAGCAGGTTGATTTTAAAGTGTTTCAGCCACACTAATACTGCAGGAGGGTGACACCTTAACACTGAGCAGTTCGCAGAACAATAACATGGAATAAAAAAAACAACCCACACCACTTGGCGACACAACGAAATACGTGGAGAACATCTGAAAAGCAGTTACAGAGCTATTCACTGAGCGGGTCTTTAGAAAGCCCTTCTCTTCTGCTCCTCCCAGCAGAGCGTCTCCTGGGGACAAAGTTCTATTAGTGGAGTGATTAAAAAAAGACGTGTCGGGCAGGAAGAGTGGGAGGGTTAAATGCAGGAGCGACACGACTCTGTGTGCCTCTGAAAGTCCTCTAGATCTTGACTCCAAAGGCCCAAGGCTTTGCCCTGCAGCTCAGCAGGCTCCCTGTGGGATGTGGCAGTGGTCCTGGCGGGACGAGATCGCGTGCCCTGAGAGGAGGGAGGGGGGATCTGGTATTTCACGTGTGGCACAGAGCAGGGCACACGCATGGCGGTGACCAATGGCACCCTACCTTCATCTTCTCGCTTTCCGCAGCTTTGGCCAGTTGATCAACGAGTTCAATTAAGCTCCCTACTATTTTCTGAAACTCTGCAATTTCTGCAAAAACAAACAAACAAAAAAAGAAAGGTCAAGTGACGTTCAAAACGCCCCTCATCCAGAATCACAGAGCTCTCGTCTGGAGTGTCGCGGGCTGGGAGGCCACAGCAGGGTCCCCAGGGGACAGGCTGACGCTTCTGCCACACGCGGCAGCTTTGAGACGCGCGTTTATTCATATTTACAGAACACGGGGACACCTGAGGAGT